CGCAAATCATTCAGATGGATGTTATCGCGAGTTTTTTCGCGATGTATGTAGGATGGTAAAATTAAGCGACTGGAATTAGTCCGAACAATTCCTCTGAGCACTCCCTGTGGTATATGCCATAGAATACACAAAGAGATGCAATATCTCTTCGCAGCGCCAGTTAGTCAAGCCGATCAGAGAAAACTCATTTCACTGAATATCATAGCCACGATTAGCTGGCAAAGTTAAAACTTTCCCGCAGTGTGTATGCTTACTTGTGAAGCTACAATATTTTAATCGTAATAAAATTTAATTAGCAATACAAGGTGGCCAAATCCTTTTCTTCACTACTCCTCTGGATCATCACACAACTTCCTAGTCACTTCATTGAAATAGCTACTTATGATATTATTGACAGCCCGCTGGTCGGTTTTTATCCTAGTACACCTGAGTGGGTTTTACAGTTCATAGGAATAAATATTTAGGACCTGATATGTTCTCAATATGACATGTCGATCTATGTAGAAGATTGCCTGACATCTATTGTTTATTCTACCGACTTCAAATAGGCGGAGGTACTCAGTTCGACTGTATGATATTTTTTATGTGTGTTACCTCATAACTTTTTTCTAAATGAACCGATTTCGGTGATTCTTTTTATTTGAAACCAGCTTTCAAATAAAAAGAATCACCAACACTTATATACTTCTCGTCTGGTCCCATATAAATTTGATCAAGGTCTGACCAATAGTTTTTGAGTAATTCTTAATAATTTATATTGACGTCGGTTGTACAAAATTCATAATTTTTTATTATTTCTAATTTTCTTTTGTGCGCTTCATTAATATTATTACTAAAATATCTTTAGAAGTGAAAAAAAATATGATCTGTACATATTTATACATTAGAGTATTTATTTTAAAAGGAGTGCCTTCAATTAATTCTAAATATTCATTTATTTTAATAAATTTAAACTAGGAAGACTAATACGTAATAATAATTTTAAATATTAATTAAAATTAATTCAAAATATTCATTTTATATTAATATAACAATATTAATTAAAATTTTATTTCAATTTTTCATTAAGTAGGTACATGTATAAAATTTTATTTGTCGGATTATTATAATCTTAGTTTTCTATGGAATAATTATTAATTTTAAAACACGTTTTATTAACATTAAATGCATAAGGAATACAATATTTGGTATTTTAACTTACCACATCCAAAATTGCTTTGTTTTGGGGTCTTTAGGGCCACCAACATAAACGAGTGTTCAATTTCATCCACCTCGACGGCCTAGTGAAAACTATATCGGTGGGTTCGATTCCCTGTCCGGCTCGTATGAGGACAGGTTTGCGTGTTAAGTTTAAAAATTTACTCTAACTTTCTTTTTGTTGCTAATATATTAATGAATGGATTTTCGTAACTCCCCTGGAGACTTTATAGGTCCTTATAGATTTTATCTTTTAAAACGTACTTACGGCTATGAATATGAAATAATAGTATATGTGATACAATCAAACACTGAACAAAATTTAGATTATGAATTGGAAAAAACATTGAAAAATTATTAAACGTGGTAGAGCCATGCTGTAGCTATATTAGTAGTATAGTTGTAGCACGAATGGGTCGGCTCGACCGGGGAAGGACCACGCTCTCACAGAATACTACGTAAAATAGCAAGCAGCTAGACACTGCTGTATTTCGTGTGGTGAGTGTAGAGTACCGGAGACCCTTTTTACTGGAAATGAGGCATTCCTTCTTAGTCCTCACGGGTGACAATGCATCCGCGTTTTGATTTGTAATAGAGGATAGATGTAAATGTCTATAGGCCGCAGCAACCACATACCATCAGGTGGACTGTGTGCTCGTTTGTCACCCTTATCCTATAAAAAAATTTTTTAAACAAAAATAAGTACTTTTACAGTGAAACGTAATGAAATGTAACGTAAGTGATTAAATTCAGTTTGTTATACTTTACCCCACAGTAGGATTTTCTCCTGTATAGTGGAGGCTGTTTATATACTCAAGTTGAACAAGGACACACATCCGGAAGCAGTAGAATTGGTTGTTTGTAAGTCGTACGATCACTTGTTCCCGTGCGGGATTCGAACCCGGGAACCTGCAGCGTCACTACAGAAGGGAGGCGTCATATAATTTTATCTATAATCATCAACATCATTACAGCCCTTCACAAGTCCACCCCTGAACATAGGCCTCCCCCAAGGAACGGAACAAAGCACGGTCCTGAACCACCTGCATTCATCGACTTCCTGCATTTCTTGTCAAGTCCTCGCTCTATCTAGTTCTAATATGCTAATAACCACTAATCATTTCAAGTCATACCATAAATAACTATAACCAGCGGCCTTCTTTGTTAATATTAGGATGTTTTTTTTAATATTTATAATTTCAAGAATCTGCCTTGGTAACAGATATTCTTTCGCAAGGCTTTGTGGTCTTTTTTTAAATAAGATATGGTTGACAAAAGAGCACACAGTCCACCTGATGGTAAGTGGTTGCTGTGACCCATAGACATCTATATCTATCCTTGTTTGTGAATCAAAATACAGATGCGTTGTCAGCCGTGAGGACACTGATGGAATGCCTCTTTTCCAGAAAAAAAGGCCTCCGGTTCTCTACACTCACCATACGAAACAGCAGCGATAAGCTGCTATTTCATGATGGTATTCTGTGAAAGCGTGGTCCTTCCCCGGTCGAGCCAACCCATTCGTGCTACAACTATACTATTAATATAGATGCAGCATGGCTCTACCACGTACAAAATCTGATGTAATGATGGGAGCCTGGTAAGATATGATCACAGATTGTGGACTTCCTGTTCAACTACATATAATAGTAATTTCAATGTGTATGTATGGTGGCGTAAATAAAAGATATCATTATGTCGTCGATATATTTTAACTGACTTCAAGAAAATAGAAGCTACTCGATTCGACAGGTTTTTTTTGTGTGTTACCTCAGAATTTTTTTCTAGGAGAACCGATTTTGGTAATACTTTTTTTATTTGAAAGCTGTTGTTTCTTATGTGGTTTCAAATGAATTTGATCGAGATCTGACCAGTAGTTTTTGAGTTATCCTTAATAATGCGTATTTAATTGACTTCGCCTACATTGATGATGTTCTCATTTTATTTATATTTAAGTCGGTTGTCCAAAATTTTTAATTTTATCACTTGTTACTTCTCAGCATCAGGGTTTGCCTGCGATGTTTTTCCCTTACCAGTGAGCACGTTGTGAATCAGCACTTAAAATTGCAAGGAGGGTTATTAAGTTACCACGGCTCAATTTTGGCAATATTTGTGTAGATTAAACACAGGTTTTCAGGTTAGGTTGCATTATATCTGCCCGACAGTATCAGAGACACAGTCCTTGACATTGCCTAGCCTGAGATCGTATCGAATGAACGTTGCATGAGACACAGGTAGGTTATGAGATGCGAGTGCCTCTCTGTGGTGCGTACACTATGGTGCTATAATTTCTACGAGCCACATGTATCACATATAGATAGTTTAGGATTATGTTCTGAATTCTTACCTAAGTCAAAATTAAAACCTATATGGGACTCAAGAATGTGTTAAATAACAATGTTATTGAAAATCCATTTTTAATAACTGGTATTTACTGCTTTTTGGATCCGAATTTTTTATTGTTTGGAATTCGGAAATAGTTCTCCCCAAATCATATTTTCTACCATTTGGATGATTGTCAGTACACCATTGTGCGGTTTCTTCCTCGCACAACTTCCTTGTGGAATAGACTATAACGGGCAAATGTTCCAGACTGATACGGCTAATGGACCCTCAAGAAAAGAACCTACTCTTACTTTGAAACGTTGGCAACGCACCAGCAATTCCCCTGGTGTTGCAGTTAGTCACTTACCATCAGGTGTGCCGCGTGTTCGTTTGCTCCTCTTAAACAAAAAATATTTAGATTTATTAATAAAAATTTATCTAGTATTTTTAATACATATTTTAATATACAATCTAACTAAAAGTTTACACACAATACTAAAAAGAAAACTATAATAAAGGAAAAACTAATACTAAAAATCATATAGTTCTTATCCCCGTGGTATCGTGCTGAGAACACTGGCTGCGTTTTCTCGCTGAATGGCTATACTTAGCTTTTAAGCCAGCAGAAAAGAACCTGCCCTCTTATCACCAACTACAGTGAAGATGAGTCACGGATACGGTTTTATACTATATTTTATCCATATTCTTTATTATAAACACGAGTTTATTGAATTAATCTGTTTGTATGTATGTATATACGTATGTATGTAAAGGAATTCAATAATTCAGTTTTCATTCCCGACTGAATTACGTCACGGTGACAGTACAATGATTTCATGACTGACCTAATATTCTCACCAGGATCATCACAGTTTGTTAGAAATGCTTTCAAGTCTTTTATACTCAATTAATATTAGAGTTTAAGTAAATATTATGACGTCAATTAGTTCAGTAGAATACTTTTTTTTCTAAACACACTAGTAGTTTAGTTTGGCTGTTTGTCTATACATAGCGTTACATTAAATGTTACCATCGTATATAAGACATTGAATGATCAGTCTTTTCCCCTTAAACAATTAAATATATGTGTACTTTCATATTTTTCATTCTTAAAACATTCCTTGTGAGTATTTTTATAAATATATTAATGTCTAATTAAATTAATTACGACTTAAGCAACGAACCCGTAAACACTTTTCAGTTACACTGGCGGGCTCAAAAGTCAAACGTATCAAACAATAGCACTCGTCGGCACACGCACCGCCCGAGGGAGAAAATAATTAATGATGATTGGCCTTAAATTACCCTCTCAAAGCCTCTACCCATCCCCCTCGCTCGCGTGCGTCCCGCCTCAACGCACCCTCTCTAACAAACCAGGTTAATATATAAACCAAACAGGTAAGCCCCACGTTAGACCCTTGCGGGACACCGGACAGTACTCACGTGTAGTTTACTTCGGACAATCAAAGTTCGCGATCGCAATGGCAGCGGAAACATACGGACATAGATTCTATACAGAAAAGGATATGTTCCCCAATGACGTAATGTTGGAATATTCTGAAGAATGCTATCTATCCTGGCCACGGTCTCCTGACTCGGGACGATCGAGCTTGGAGCCAACACCATCCTTGGAGAGCAACGAATCGCCAACACACATCGCATATAGAGGATTACCAAACGATCTAGTTCTAGAAGACAGTGCGGAGGATGGAGAAACACTAGAAGGATCAGGGAAGAGGAGAGGGAGGGCGACAAGTGCTGCAGTTTTGCGGAGGCGCCGTCTCGCCGCGAATGCGAGGGAAAGAAGACGGATGCAGAACTTGAATAAAGCATTCGACAGGCTCCGTGGTCATCTGCCGTCTTTGGGTGCTGATCGCCAACTCTCCAAATACGAGACCCTTCAGATGGCACAAACATACATCGCTGCGCTTTATGAATTATTGCAGTAAAGGTACGTGAAGCCGAAATTAGGAATTTTCGAACTAGACTTTTTATCAAGCTTAGGAAAACAGTTATTGTGAACATTTAGAATAGTATTATAGACATTTAGTGTTGCGATTATATACACTAAAATATTGCCAAATTTAACTGTTTCTTAAATAGTTTATACAGGGATATTTATTCTTTTAAGAATCCGTTACAACAAATATTCTGAACGTTACCAATTAGAATAGTGTTCTTATAATTAAAACTTCGACTGTTGTGAAACTCTGCATTTAATGTAATTAATACTCGTAAGTTGATAGTGACTCTATGGTTTTTATGAACTGGACGAGTTGGTTATCGCTTAATTTTACGCTTTTTGAATAAACTAAATTTTAGTCTATAGTTAAGTTAACGTGATCCGTCCTACCGATTATTTTTATTATTTATTTTAGATATTATATTATAAATGTTTAATGCTACTTTCTGACTTTACTCAATTAATTAATAAAAAAAAATAGAAATGTAGAGTTTTTGAACCAAATGCAAAAATCTCATTATTCTTTAACTGTGTCTTATTGTAAGTAGATTTATGGAAAATTGTTAAATGGGTTTTCTTTTGAAAACCGCTTGCTTTCTTCTCACCTATTATCACAGTAACATCTTGCCAATAAAGTATTATTAACTGTATGTTTGTATGTTAAGTTGTATACCGGTATATAAATTATTTCATAGTGTACATTACCTAGATGTAGATTGTTATAATACGCATTTGTGTATGTTTTTTGTAAATATATGAAATCTGTTTCGAAACATGCTTGTTTTATTGATTTATTTTATATACATTTTTTTAATAAAATTGTTGTACAACTCAAAATAATGAATAACTTCGGTTGCCAACCCGTCTGCCAAAGTGGCAACTACGGCAAGATCATCACTATCAGGCAATTTATGGTAGAGGTCTATGTTCAACAGTGGACATTACATAGGTAAAATGTCGTTAAAAATGATGTGACAAACGAGCTTCCAGATGATAACTGGATACAGCAGCCCATGGACACCTGCAACTAGAAATAAAGTAGGCTACAGTTGCGTTGTCACGTCTGAGGAATAAGGTGGAATGCTTCAGAGCCTGTAACTATATCAGATCTCTATATCAGTTTCCCAAACATTGCTCTGCCATGGCCCGGTAATTTTCACACTGTACCTTCGTGACCCACTTAATAATTTTAAACTCAAGCTGGTTCCATTAAATAAAAAAATACATATTTATCAATAGTAGAAATGTTTTAGAAATGAATGTCAACGATGCGTCGATCGATAGTAGGTATTATTTTTAAAACAAGGCGGGAATGTTGCGACCTGGTATTTTATTTTGATGGCCCGGTACCGGGTCACGACCCGGCAAATGGGAGACGGTGCTCTATATTCTTCCGATCGACATCAACAGTGCAGGCACTGCAGTTTCGCGACAGAAACAGTTAAGATAATGGTACCTACCCAGACTGACCTTGTAAAGTTTTAAAACCTTGTACCTACAGTTTTTATTTGGTAGAGCCATGCCATAATTGTAACATTGGAGCCATAATTGTAGCACAAATGGATCGTCTTGACCGGAGAAGGACCACGCTTTCACAGAATACCAGCGTAAAATAGCAGCTTAACGCTGCTGTGTTTCGTATGGTGAGTGTAGACAACCGGAGACCCTTTCTACTGGAAATGAAGCATTCGATCTTAGTCCTCACGGTTGACAACGCATCTGCATTTTGATTTGTAACAGAGGATAGATGTAGAAGTCTATGGGCCGCAGCAACCACTTACCATCAGCTGGACTATGTGCTCGTTTGTCACCCTTATCCTATAAAAAGGAAAGTTTAGTATTGAGAAAAATACAGTTTGTACATCCAACAGTTGGGCATAGAAAAAATTCCATCATTGCTGAGAAGGTAATCAAGTTGAAAGGAGTACACTGCGTTATTGCAGTACAGTATATTTACCGTTATAGCCTATTAAAGTCCACAGCTGAATCGTTGTTGCCACTCTTGGCAAGCGGGTTGGTAACTGCAGTTGTTTATGTTCTAGATGTTATTAGAAAGACGCCGCTGGTCATCTCCTTGTTTTGTTAAACACTAGGTGTATATCCTCTACTCAGCTCAAGCTTACCTGGCGGATGTAACTGTACTGGCAAACCTGACAGGTAAACTTTAAATGTATGGTTACCTTTAGAAGGCATATACGGCGTACCACGGCTCCTAAACTAGGTACGAACACAACGTATATACTTATCAACTTTTTATACGTGGTAGAGCCATGCTGCAGCTATACAGGGTTATTTTGCAATAACCAGCGAAATTTGCAGAGAAGATTCAAAATAAGTGATATTGGCAAATGGTGAAGAAAAATTAATGAAAAAATTCTTAAACATTCTGTCCTTTTATCTTTTAAATTAATAATGTGTGGTAATTTATTATTTTGACTGATTGTCATTCATAAATCTAACGTTTACTATTTTACTACGTTCGCACACATTCGTATTGGTCGATCGGTCAACAAAACGTTGTGAATTGGTTTGCACACATAAAAGCGCGCGTACGCGAAGTTGTTGCCCATAAATCACATTCAATTTGGGATAATTACAAATGAAAAGTAGATACCTTATTTACGCGTATTTTCAAAAACTGCAATAATGGTATATGATTATTTATATATTTGAAATTAAGTTTAAAATTTGGCTACTCTTTGAAAAATAACCCTGTATTAGTAGTATAGTTGTAGCACGATTGGGTCGGCTCGACCGGGGAAGGACCACGCTCTCACAGAATACCAGCGTAAAATAGCAGTTTAACGCTACTGCGTTTTGTATGATGAGTGTAGGGAACCGAAGACCCTTTTTACTGGAAAACTCACGGGTGACAACGCATCTGCATTTTGATACTTTGTTAAGGATAGATGTAGATGTATATGGGTCACAACAACCACTTACCGTCAGGTGAAATGTGTTGTCGTTTGTCACCCTATTAAAAAAAAAGAAAATTACAGAGTCAGTTTCGCTTACAGAAAAGGAGAGAAATAGTTTACTAACATATGTCGTTCGATGTGATTACATTCTAGATTTCAATGTCAATGCAAGAGGCAAGAGTGAATTGACATTTGTTAATGTAAGTTATTGTCATATACTCATACCCTACTCGATATTAAGATGTCGGTAAGTCTCGTGGAGTCACAGGAACTTTGACTTAAAGTGATAGAGACAGCACGAGACTTAACGACATCTTAAAATTGATTAGCGTATGACTATTTGTGCATTAGTGTGTTATATACTCTTTGGCTAAATCACCACATTCCATCAGGTCGGAGAGTAAACAAGCATATAAACTAGTGCTAGTCATATTAAAAAAAAAACTAAGTTATTATGTTGATGTTTGATTTTTGATGATGTTTATATTGATGTTAATATATCATAGTGCAAAGTTAATTACAAGTTTTTCTTATTAAAAGTCATTTTTACTTTTACCACTGGTTCCTGTGATTTTCTACCGTGAGCACTCTTAAGCTATCACGACCCTTTTTAATATGTATATAAGTCTAAAATATGTGTATTTCTTTTTAAAATTAAAATGGAAACTGCAGACATGTACTAGGAGTACAGAAGAGCGCAATTTCGATTTTTTTATATGATAAGGTGACAAACGAGCACACAGTCCACCTGATGGTAAGTGGTTGCTGTGACCCATAAACATTCACATCTATGCTCAATAAAGAATCAAAATGCAGATGCGTTGTCACTCGTGAGGACTAAGTTGGAATGCCTCTTTTCCAGTAAAAAGGGTCTCCGGTTCTCTACATTCATTATACGAAACACAACACCATTAAGCTGCTTTTTTACGCTGGTATTCTGTGAGAACGTGGTCCTTCCCCGGTCGAGCCGACCCACTCGTGCTACAACTATACTACTAATATAGCTGCGGCATGGCTCTGCCACGTATAAAAATATATACTTTTAAAAAAGTATATACTTTTATTTTATGCGTACCCAGAAGACTAAGATAGAATACCTCACAGCCTGTTATCATACTGGCACTGCACGCCTTACACATTGCATAACATTTTTGTGGTTTTTATACATCGAACAGTGTAGCATTGAAAATCCTGAAAACAATCTAAAACACACTCATACTCACTCAATCGTACCATTACCAAGAGAGTGTAATACAAATAAATATTATCATTTATTATATAAATATTATTAGTGTCTGTTTGTAATGTAAAAATAACACATGTTTACTAAGCGCATATGAAATTATATGCAGTAATTATAACAAAAACACAACTTTTAAAATTTTTGTCTGTCTGTCTGTCAGTTTGTTCCGGCTAATCTCTGAAACGGCTGGACCTATGAACCTATTTTGACGGGATTTTCACTGGCAGATAGTTCATGTAATAAGGAGTAACTTAGGCTATTTTTGTTTTAGTAAAAGTTAAAACCCATGAAATCCAATCGTAACAAATTGCACGCGGACGAAGTCGCCGGGTACAGCTAGATCGCGGTAGAGCCGACCCATTCGTGCTACATCCATAATATAGCCGCAGCGTGGCTCTAACATTCTTAAAAATATGCAAAACATTTGTGCAATTAATATCATAGGAATCTAGATATGGTGTATTATATATGGACCGACCTGGTACTTATAATTCCAAGTTTCGCAATCAGGGTCACAACCAACTCCGCGATCCAGTCGCCAACAATGAGAGGGTGATTTCGCATACAAACGTAAGTAACCCTCGATAATTTCGCGAACGATCTTATTTCGTTGACATAAAATTTAGAATTCCATAAGCTTGACACGAAAGTGTAAATCTGTTTTGGTACACACCTGCTGCATTTGCATACGTTTGACTGATTGTTCTGTCACTCAGTTGGACTACGTTTGATGTTGGTCACAAATGTTTGTTAAATCAAATATTTTTGCGATATGTGTACCTATCAGTGAAATTGTGGGTCCCTTATTTTAATCCCAACGTAAGT